GAGGATCTCTGTGCTCTGGGCTATTCTGCATTTCTCAGTCATTGCTATTCTTCCAATAAAATTAAAATGATTTTTACATCCGAATATCTTTGAGGGTTTGCTCTCGTCGTTTCCAGTCTTGCCGATCAATAAATTCGCGCGTGATTCATACAGCCGTTAAATTCAATTTTAAAACCCCGTATGACAGTTTTAAAAATCTCCACTTTTCCTTTTTCGCTTGGTATATCCAGTGACAACCTGGCCCACTGACACACTCCCGAAAAGAAACTAAAAATCAACACGCACATGTCGTGGTATTTATGCAAACGCGGCAAATACACCACTTTCTACACAAACCTGCTATTTTCCACCATCTTATTTTTATTTTCCTCCTATTCCTTGAATTCTCAATAAATGTTGCATCTCTATTTTCACAATTTTTACTCAATTTAAAATGAAATCGTTCATTGAAATTCCACGAACATTTGAGTTTCATTCTAAACCCGCAAATTCAACAACAATTTATGTCACGGAATTTCCCTTAATAAACCTGAATGTTTGATAATTATTACGGTAAACGTCGAACAATAATAATAATAAAAATAAAAATAGTAATATGAGCGTTTGATAAATTTTCAATGGAGGGAAAATCCGGGAAAAATCAGGATAATCGGACAGGCTCTTGCAATTGGTTTTTAATGATGATTTTTTTTGTTAACAACGACTGGTTTCGTATAGTAAATGATAAATGAGGGATAGGGAGTGAATATAATATAGGATTTGAGATTGTCAAGGAGTTTTGCACTGTTGGAGACAGCGGGGGCGGCCCCGGAGACACCGAGGTGAGTCACGAAAGACCATCGGGGTTAGAATCGACCTTCCGGGCGTGCGCGTTGCACCCACACCTTATGCACACATACTCACATGTGCCTGAATAAATAACATAGGCGGTTATGAGGTTTGAGGATTTGAAAAGGGTTGTCCTACCACGAGGCTCAGATAACGAGCTCAGCCTAATCGCTGATCCCCCGTCAATATCAATAACGAAAAAAAAAAATTGTTTTATTTTTAAAAATTTTTATTTCCCGGTTACTGCCCCTTATTTGTCATTTTTTTTTTGTTAACGATAATTTATCTAATTAACTCCACTCAAATTATATCAACAGCGAATATTAAGCCTATGGGAACTCCCAGGATTCTCGGAATATTTTCACGCACTGTGGGGTACGTTAACATGTGAATTTATCTCGATTAGTTGGTTCATTAGTATTTGGAATTCTGTGTTACTGTACTGAGGAAAAAAGGATTACTGCCAATTAAATTTATTATTGCTGAATAAATTGGGTTGAGGCAAGAATTTTGATTGTCTCACGTATTTATAATTCTGCATAATTCGGGTAATGATTTTTTTTCTTCTTTTTTTTTAATAATGACCGAACAGACGTAGCTGCTTGATGTAAGAATGGGGTTCTCGATATTGTGACAATTTATTCCATCAGTTGGTTATCGTGGTGATTATCTCGATATGTGGTGAAGGCTTTGGTTGGACTTTTGAATCGTAAATTTTCTCTCGGTGATTCTCCTTGGGCTTTCCAATGACACCGGTCCCTTCATTGGATATGGGAATTTTATTCTCGGCTCCCCCTGGTAACTCGTTTATGCAAATTGAAAAACAAAGGGTAATAAAAGGTGTGGACGCGTTAAGGGAATGTTATTTGAAGGATCGTGAGACAGATGCATGGTGACAGGGTGTATAATGTGTAACGAGAGGAATCGGCAACGTTGCTTGGTTAAATTCTCCATTGGATCGTGGCTTTTGTTACGTACATGCTCGGCATCGTCGCTTCAATATCTTGGTAGTCTTTCTTCCTCCTCTTCCTCTTCATCTGGAGGACTCTGAGTCAGAGGGACACGTTGCGTAAGCCACTGAATTCGCAATCCGGTCAGTGTCGAATTCTCCAGATACAATTCAGGATGATCTACATGGATTATGCCCTTCCACCATTTTTATCGTTTTTATCATTCTTATCATCTTTATCATCTTTATCGTCGTGATTGATTCGGACATTCTGGCGGAAATTATTGGAGGACTTTTTATCGGCAATTTCATGATAATATTTTTGCTTTAAATCGTTAATTGTTGAGATAAAGTGATAATTACTGGGAATTTTAAATTCAACTTATCTGACTTCACTACTTATGGCTGGTGAATTGTGAAGTGATCATCTTGTTCCGGAGGATCGAACAAAGAGGCATTTGTTTGCGGAAATAAAACGGGAGATTGATACTTTCTGTCGGGATTTTTCACTCCTCAAACGTTAGAAAGTTATTTCTGAGAAGGATCGGAGAGTTGAAAGGTGGAATAAAAAAAAATGAATAAAATTGACGGTGGAAAATATCGAACGGTTTCTTCGATCTAGAGAATGTACCAATTACCCGGGGCTTACCACAAAGAGGCATTTTTCCAGCTCTCGATATCCACTTTGTGATATTTCTTTCCACGTTCGGAGGGGGAAAATATACTCGAGTGCTTTATGTTTTTCGTTCTCTATCGCAGGAGAGAGATAACACCGAGGGGATGGAAATATCCGTATACTCTGTAAACAAACACCGAGAAATAAGTTTTTACGGGAATCGAGAAAAAAATATATATTTTCTGATACAAAGATGTATTTTTCCCTCTGTATCTGCCATCAAGTGATTCCTCTGAGGAGAACAGAATCCTCGGCAATTGAAGGAGATTTATCTCACTCGAAGTTGAAAATAAATTAGAAAGTTGATGAACAATTCTGCACCAACCTCGATTCATACTAACGACTATGAAAATTAACATGCGCTCGTAAACTCAATTTCAAAATGCATAATTCTGAAAAAAAAAAATCATGAAAAATAAAAAAGTGCAAAAAGTGCAGCGTCCCTTATTATCAAATTAACGGAGGAGATTTCTCTCACGAATGAAAATTAATCTTCACCTTTCACACCCCGTCGTTCCCCTCTTCTCCCTTCTCCCTTCTCCTCTACCCCTGAACTACCACAAAAACATGAGTTTAAATCACTCCTGGGAATGCAATAATTCAAGCAAGTTTTTAAAAAATATATGAAACTCTAGTTTCACGTGGTTATCGTATATTAAATGAACGCAACTGGGTAATAGAGTAGCTCTCCGAGTGCGTAACTCACCGAAGTTATATTACCTATGGTCATTCAACCCAAGTCGGTTACGGATAGTAACAGAAGCGGTGCGAAATTCCGCATGCCAACCCGAACTAAAGTGGATTTTGAAAGAGGTGCATAAAAGCGCCTCCGAGGCCTTTACCCCGGGTAAAATTGAGGGAATGCCTCTGGGTTTATATACGTGGAAAGGCTATAGGGTTTCGGGACAGAAATAATCCACGGGCAACACGATTTAGCGTGCCACAGCCTCTGGAGGGAGGAGAGAGGGCCATTCTGACGAGTCCATGTCTTCTGGTCTCTCAGAAAGAGGGGCCAAATGCCATTCCATTTCCACAAAATTTCCGTCACACTCACGCCTCACGCCTCATTTTATCAGGTCATTATTACCATTGTCAGTTTTACCTCGACGTTATCCGGGCTTTCCACATTTTGATTTATTTAAAAAATATTAGAAAATCATGTGAATAATCATTGGACTGAGAAATGGAGGAGGTGAAAGGGTCGTTTTGACGTGCCCATGTCTTTTGGGGTTTGAGGAAGAGGTGGCAGTAGAAAATGGCGTTCCATTTCCGCGGAACTTTACTGGGGGGGGAGTGAATTCCGCCATCGGATGCAAGTCTCGGTGAATGCTCAATTGCTCCATTTATCACTGGAGACCAGTCTTTCATCTTCGTTTCCGTGGATTATTGATTCGCTGGAAGAGATGTCGATGAGTGCAAATGGTTGGGAAGGAGAAATGGAAAACGTTTCCGGATTGTTTCGCAAGAGATGGTCATGCCAGGCACGTTTGCTCTTCCGATGCAAGCGATCGGGGAAATAGCTTGCAGGAAATGGCCATCGACTTGCTAATCACTTTCGGAGGCCTCTTGTTTTTTTTTTTTTTTTGAAAATCAATGGAAAATCATTTCCGGAAAATTGAAATTATACAGAAAAGGCGGGAATTTTGTCAGGGAATGTTCTGGATTTTGTGAATAATTTGATTTGGCAGTGGTGACGTGTCACCAGAATCTTGTGCTCATTTTTGTCCTTTTATGATCATTTCATCGGACTTAGGACAAGACGCGTGGATCAGGGTGAAAGTAGCTAACGTGAAAGTACAGTGTTTATCACTCCATTGGGGCGCATTATCGAATGATTGTTTTTACAATTGTCAGTAATTTGTAATTCACGGTGTTTCATGGGTAATCATACGGTGTTTGAATACTTTCCACAGAAACAAAAACGTTTTTCGTTTTATAGAAGTCACTGATCATCAATAATGCATATCTCCTGCTAAAACAATGAAATGCAAAAGGAGAAAAAAATACGACGAATTATTCTCAGGGGATTCTGTCAGTTTTACTGAATATTTTTGTCCGTGGGGTGCGATGAGGATGAGGGAAAAAAATTAAATGGCTATGTTTGACTGATGAAAAGTCAGTCGGGTCTATATATAATTTGGTGCGTCTCAATAAAATTCACTCGAGTGAAACGTGATGTTTAAAGTTTAGTGTTTTCACAGAATAACACGTGTATGTTTAAGTACGTCAAGAGTGGCTCGTTTGTTGTGCCTTGGCACACACATACACTTGTTTAGCGAGAATCGTGGCTGATTGGGAGGTGAGACATTTGGTTTTTTACAGGGCCCGAGTCATTAAACGACTCAAACAATTTATTCTTGACGCATGGCTAGGATTTGAAAAAGCGCAACACCTAGGAGGTCTCTTCACGATTCTGACACGTTTTTAGTCATGATCTTCTAAAATAGATGAAAATTAAATACATATTATCAAATCATTTATCAGATTATTTTATATTATTTGATATTGATGTTGAATTTTAATGAGAAATATTTAATGCTGTTGCAGATTGAGAAGCAATGGCTGAGGATCGTACAGCAGCCCAGGGGATCATCCCCCAACCATCGGTGAGTGCAATATTTATTTCTTGGAATTAAATGAATTCAAGGGACTGGTAGATCTTAGTCTCTCGAGGATTGAGGAGAGAATAGTCACCCTCGGGGTATTACTCACTATTTTCCCTTCGTCTATTCTTGATCACACCCCAGGCATTCTGGGTGCGTTACGCGTATCGCATTTATGATGCATCCACCCTACGTACTGTCTTACAATAAATCATCGATGTTTAAATTGAGGGAATGATATGTGCGCGAGTGACGCGGGTAATTTTTATTATTGAAATTTTATGGTGAAAATCGTCGGTCGATTATTTACACCCGCGAAAAAGTGCAGTGTCAGGTAAAAACCACTGAAAACACCCGGAACATTACGGGCTTACGTTGTATGGATAAAGTAGCGACGATTATGTTTGTTTTACCACCTACTTACCCACTTAAGTGAAACCACTCTTGAAAACACCGAGATGCGGTGAGAAAAATTCGCCTAATGGCTTTTTTTTTTCTGATAACGTCTATCATAATTAATGCGTTCAAGTGCGGAGTAACTGTTTGATAGGATTTATAGTGTCTCGCGAATGTGAAATTTTATCGGGATCGTAAATCATCGGTACGTCGCGGGCATTGATTCATTTAAACCGTTAACGACTATTAAAAAAATGGGGAAAAAAAATTGAAATATACAAATGTACTTCTTTCGAGTACATATTACTATTCTGTCAAGAAAGCTGTTTATTGAAAATTATCAAGTCTTATTCCGTGGACTAAGTACGGGACGAGAGAGAATTGAAATTCCGCGATTCAGGAATTACTATAATTACACTCAGTACGAGTGTATATTCCTCGATAGAATGACGTGTTAGTGATCACGCTGGTGATGTATACAATAATTGAAGAGAAAATTGCCGCGAGAAGTCTGACAAATTGAAAATTCCGGACGATTATTGCTTGAATTTTCAATTGTTAATTGTTTAAAAATGAGAAACTCTTCATTGATGTGTAGTTCACGTGTAATTATCCGAGAGTATGGTGTGGGGGGATAAATGAAAAGCAACTTGGATATCCTTAATTAGGGATAAAGATACAGTGTATCGGGTTACTCTATCCGGAAGTTGGAAATATGATCTGGGGTTATGAGTATGATCTAAGATCTTGGACAAACGAGCACGTATGTTTAACCCAGTCCGTGCTTGTCTAACCGATACACGATAATTTCATCTTCTCTCACTGCTAATTCAACGTCAATTATTCATGATTTACGAGCCATCCGGTGTTGGTACCAATGCACTGTATTAAACCCGAGAGGATATATCTCCTGGGGGGTTACGTCTACATCCCTCTCAATAGTTATGTACGAGGTTGAGTTTCACCATTTGACCATTAAATTTCAGTCTTTATGATTTTCCTGATATCCTGGGTCACGATATACTGTGATTATAATCCACAGTGCCATGTACATGAGTCTGACTATTAAACTTACTGTTATGGGGGAAGAGTTTAAATCTCCGTACAATCGTTGCAAATTGGTACTAAACTGTTGGAAATAATTGTCGTAAATATTAAGGCTACGAGTAGCAGCAACTATTTCAACTCGAGATTATAAATTTCAAACGATTGTTTACGGATTTTACACGTGTTAACCACTGCTAATTCTTTCATTTTATTTACAATCGGGGAAAACATCAGACTTTTTCTCTTTTGCATTCGAGAAAATATCATTGGTCAAGTTGTGAAAGAGGATAAGTACTTTTCGCGGAAATAATCATTATGATTTATCATTTTTAGTATTGGAAGGACGATTACAATTTTAATTGTCATTTAACCAGACATCTCTGGTATAATTTTCAAATTTTCTTCATTTTCATACGTTATTTAATGTTTTGTTCCTCGGCAACTCTCTCGGCGTATTGTTTAATGGCTTGGTGTAATAATTCGAAGTGCGGAGTTCTGTGAATCCCTGACATTGAATAATTGAGAAATCTAGGGCGTTCGCGGGCCACAGGGTCGTGCCATTGGCATGTCAAATCTTCCAATATTCACCTAGTTCAATTGTGTCAATATTAACAACTGGAAATACTTATAAGCCGTTACACGACGAGCTGTTGAATTACGTTCACCCTAGTGATCCGGTGCACATCGCTCGAGGAAACGTGTTTGAGATAGCGGTGCTCCTGTGCCACACACTCCTAAAAACCCATGTGCGCCCCAGAATCACTCGGTTACGTGTCTTAATTTGACGTTGAGACAGTCACGATGTCTGTAATTGTGGCTGAATAAGGATTTTAAGAATCTTTTTTGTTTCCCCTTTTTTATTTTTATTCCGTTTCATTGCAAAATGGTTAATGGTGCCGGAGGTATTATTTTTATCGACAGCGGATGGAATGGCTTTAATAGACACCAATGGAACTTAAATAACGGATTACGTTTTACTCGAATTGTGTAATTGATGAAGGAGGGAGGGGTTCAGGTGGAGTGAGACTAACTTGTGGGTGAACTTATTTGCCGGTTGGCTTGAGAGGAGTTGAATTTTTTTTTAATTTTTTTTTTTTTTTGCTTTTTTTCTTCTTTATTTCTGTGGTGCAGGCACGCGAGGGTATTAATGTTCGGTTGTAAATTCTGGATTAGGTTATAAATTTATTTTCGTTATTCCGTTATATCGGATGGGAGCGATTAGAGATTGTGGGGGGTATTTATGGGACTTGTTGACCGGTTCATTGATTTAAGTAGCAGCGGGAGGAAAAATAGTTGATCGGTTTTTATTACTTTGGACAATTGCGATTTCTATGAATAATCCCAATAGTTGAATATATCGGTTCGCATATACCGCAGGTTGATGTGAAAATTATTGGAAAATTGGATGAATTTTAATTGGCGTGGAGCAGGATTGGAAAAATTGGAGAGGCTTTCTCCGTGGTTGTGGGTACGAGGCTAATAAAAATGGATTGAGAGAAAAAAAAAATGTTGGGTCGATTGGTTCCACTCCGTGCCATCGGTGGTTGTAATACGATTCTTTGGCCTGAGGCAACTTCTCTCATTCCAAACTAGAATATATCCTCTGGTGTTTTCTGCAAGCCGCTCCTGCGGCTGAACAGATTTTTTACCCAATTTCATTTTTATCCACACTGAATTTTCACATTTTATTTATTTTTTTCATTACCCACTCTTGTTCCACCGTCACATCTGGCCTTTTACTTTCACTTGTTATTTTTAAGAACTCTCATTAGATCCGACTCATTGACCGAGAGGTAACTATAACTCCAGGTAACTAACAGGGGGTTTTGTTTTTGATAGATTGCACGGCTAATCGTTGTGCTGTATCAGTGCAAGTAGCTAAATCACGAGAGAACACAGCGACTATTTGTTTGGTGTTTCAACGGGTTTCTAAATCCGTCTTATCGTATGATACAAGTTGGCAAGTTTCACTTGAGATTAATGCCAGATGTTTCGGTAAATTTTCAAGCAATTTTCAACAATCGACTATTTTAAAAAATAAAAAAAAATATGGGAATCGAGTGAGTCGTCAATAAAAAAAATTCCAGAGCCCCGAAAGAAAGGCCTCAGTACCAGCATAAATGGTGCCTATCGTTAAGTGCACTTAAGCACCTCGGGTAAATAGGTACCACTAGTGGGCCCATCCCAGATCACCTTTTTGCCTTCAAAGCCACCATCACCCAATACCCCACTTCAGCTGGCCTGTCTCCAATGGCAAGGTTGTAAACTTTATTGTTTAGACACCTTTCCACCAGGCGTAAAACCAAATTATCCCGCAATTAGTGTTATTTACCATTTTCCCACTGGGTTTTTTTTCCTTTTTTTCAAAATTTTTTGTGCAACCAGTGGGCAAATCGCTATCTCATTATGTCGTGGCACTCGGCCCACGCTTTTTTCTCTCTCTTCTGGAACAACTCCTTCTCCAGGTTATGTTTGCCATGGGCTTTCACCGATGAGTTATTGCGGGACCCAAACTGGCGAACCAAATGCGCGCACCGCCGCGGCTCATTGTTCCCTCCCTTCTTCTTCCCCTCTCTTTACCACCCCCTTACCACCCCCCCCAACCTTCGAGAATTTACCGTTCGATTTCTCGCGCATTACGTATATATACACGACATGCATTCAAGGGATATTATGGAGGAGTAAAGTACCATGTGCGTTTTCTATTTCTCTTCTATTTTATATGCCAATTGTTGGGGGCTCGAGGGTACTCGTTGCGTTCGGCAATGTGAATTGCTCTGTACCTTGATTGTATTTACATTCTACGATTTCTCGGTGAATTTTTCCTGTGGACACGCCTGTCTCTCGATGGAAATCGCTGGGAAATATTTCCCCTTCACCCTTTTACCGGTATTGCGACACAGATTGAGGATTGTCATTTTTTTTAAATTCATGTGAATTTTTTATGGCGATGATAATTGAGGGGTGGGTCAGGCTCTAGGGTCTCCAGAATTTTCACTCTTCCAATTAGTCTCGGGTTTGAATGGAAAAATATTTATGGCAGTGTATCCCCAGGCGTATCATCATGACGCTCGACCGATGATTCTCGTTACTCAATCCCCCGTACCGTGGAGCACGGGATAATTCAATTTTGTTAAATGAAACATTTATGAGCTAGCCGTTTACGTGACTTGTCGTGAAAAAAATGACATACAACTGAAGTGCAGTTTTGTAGAAAGTAGAACTCCCGCGGTGTCACGAATAGGACAATGGGGCAGTGGGAGAATAAGGAGTTGAGTTGATAGTGAGACACGAGAGTGTAATATCCACCGACGCATATAGCACACACCAGGTGGCCAGTTGTAATTTCCTCGGTGCGTTAAAATTCATATGCGCAGGG